TTACACAATATAAAATGGTGCTCCCTGCAATGAATGTATGGACTATTCTGTTTATTAATACTCTTATTGGTCTTTCAAGCTCATCAGGAGCACCTCAGCTCTGCTCCTGCAAAGTATTTAAGTAGATGTTCCACTTCAAAGTGAAGTTTGGGTGCTTATGCAATCATCCAAACCTTCTGATGTCTATCTTGTCCCTCCCACTTCTCTGTTCCAGTCTCTTCCCCTTCTCCTTTCTGGCAAATCAGATCCTTCTCTTTAAAGCCACCTTACTCCTCTTCTTCTCATTCCCAAACCTCACTCTTTAACAGATTCTCATTTACCTGCTGTTTTCCTGATAACCCTGTTCTCATCTTGGTTGGTATCACACAGAAAAGATCTCTCCATTTTTCTTGATCTCTGTTTCACTGTGGCTCGCTCCACTAGTAAAATCTTATGTGCAAGAGAGAATCCCCACCACAGTAATCCCAAAATGGAGTGGAGCTTGTCCATGGGATGCCTCGGGTCACTATAACACTTTGTGAGAAATTCCAGGTGTCACTCAACCTTCCAGAGGCTACCAGTCCCTAGTGGAGTTCAGTAAGATTGGATGGTCTATCTGGCGACAAAAAGAGTATATGTGTCTGTGTGTGAAGGAGGAGAAACTCATTCAGAATTTTAAAAAGTTTAAATTGGTGTTGAGATTTGAGCTCATTCTTATTTATTTCTCAAAATTAACTGTTATACACACTGCTGCTGGGTATGGTGTACTATACCATCTAGTGGCACCGAGACCATTTACAGAGAGAACTGTCTATAGCCTTAGCTGAGAGCCAGTTGTATTTCATCTCCTATGGTAGAGGCTTATGCACTAAGCTCCAGAAGTCTCTTGTTTGGTTCTGCCTGTACGTGTTACATAATCACCCATCGAAAATATAGAATTGCTTTCTTCTCAAGTATTCAAATGCGAAGAGATGGTTTATGAAGTTCTTCTTCAGCCTTACTGTTAGACCATTGCAAGCATGCTTTGGTTTTCAAATTTGTAGTCAAGCAAGTCAAATATACATCACTGACTTTTAACTAACACAAGCATATCACAGCTGCTGCCTCTGTGTTTAAAATTCAAACCTTTGAGTATATGAAATAAATTCATGACAATTTATCACAAAACTGTTGGCAAATGCCATATTGTTGATCAACTATAACACGTACTTTGTATGTAGAGTCTTAGCTGTTGACCAATAAACATTCTATTTTCATTCTTTAGAGATTAACAATATTTCTTGTGTGGTCAGGTTCTTTCCAGTTCCATACACTGGTTCTTTTGAAGGATGTGTTTTCCTACGTTCAACTTTTTTAGAATCACACTCTCACAAGCCTTCTTTCTGAAAACAAAATACAATTTTAAAAAAAGAGCATGTCAGGGCTTGTGCCAGTTAAATCCAAGCTCTCAGGGGATTTGTTTTTCTTTTGGCGTCAGATTTGATGTTCAAATCAAGCAGTGTTTTGGGGCTGTGGATGAATGTCTATAGAACTCTTAATGAGGCTAATCCCGCAGCAGCACATTCCAAGCAGTTAATGGGTGCAAGTTCATTGCTTACTTTAACATCTCTTCGGTCAGAATGGAGTGAATGCCTTGCGTAGTGGTAGTCATGAATGTGTTATTAGCAGAATGACCAGCAGCAGTGAAATGTGGACACCACAACATACTTTGGGACTGCCTTAAACATCACCCAAATTTCATGCTCAGGTAAACATTATATATGTACATCAGCCTTTAATCTGGGTTTTTAACTTTTTTATAAGAGAGCAATATTGAGTCCAGGGAACTAAACTATGAGAAAACTTATGTCCATGGATAAAATATCAGATAATTTATTAGTTGAACTCATTGTATTAATTTGCGTTTTGCTATTTAGTACCAAGAGATCATGTCTGTGTTAGAATGAGAAACAAAGACAAAGTGTAGTATCATTTTCTACTGTATTAACTCATATTTTACATCATAATTCATGTATAGACTGATCATATCTGACTTGTGTAACAAAATTTTAAAAAGTTCAGTTCCTCTGGTCACTTATCTCTGCCTTTGATTCTATAGTGAAGACTGTTACAAACAGTTTTATTATATCTTTCGTTTCTGAGAATGAATGAATATAGATAGTACACTATTTTTCATTGCAAATTTTCTGTCTCAGGAAGCTCTTGGTTCAGTGCAATACAGTTGGATGCTTTCTTTTGGGAATGAAAAGAAACAGCGAATTACAAAGATAAAACATATTTGTTATTGTGCAGGCAAGGTAATAGATCTTTTAAGAGCAAAGAACTGGAAACCTTTACTGGACTGAAAACTACATTTTATTTTAATTTGCTTTTTTAACAGTTTTCTATACACTTGCCTGTTAATTAAACTTTTTTGAAATATGTGCTTCCCCACTTATTTTAAAAAGTATTGTTCTGTGAAGTCTCTTTTGTCAAGTATTTTCTATTTGATTTTGTTATTGTTTAGATAAATTCAGTCCTGAGCTATCTTTAAAGAAGAAATCTTAAACTATCTTTAAAGGTATATTTCAATTAGTGAATTCTCCAGAGTCTGCTGTAAATTGTTTTTGTGGATGTCCATAAAACATCAGAAGTGTATCTAAAAGGCAACATTCTAGGTAACCCTGCCATGTTGCTGAAGCAGAACTTCACTGGAAGTGTTTTATATCCCAGGAAATTATTTAGGAAGTCATTCAGAAATGTAACATGGAACAACTAACGTTATGCTTTCTAGAAAGATGATAGATGTGCCAGGCACTTACTTGAATGTTAAAATAAACAAGTAAATAAACTTAGCATAGCAGATGTTTCCTTATTTCAAGAAACATTACCATGTATAACAAAGAAGCAATTCATCAATCCATTTCTGCTTATATTGACAACCCGTTCCTAAGGCAGTAGTACAAAGTGATACCTGAATAAGCGTGGCATTGGAATTGTAAAATTTTAGTCAAACAAAACAATCGCCTGCCCCAGCATTTTGAAGTTCCTCTCTTCATTGTCCCAAGCTATCTGTGGTTGGGATTTCAGTGGCTACAAATATGCACTGTAGGTAAATATTCAATTAAAGTTTTAGAAAAAATTCACTTTAAAACTCATTAAAAACTTAGTTGGCTAATAAGGAAATGGCTCATTGCATCTGAAAAGCTAATTAAATTACTAAGCTGAAAATTGGACAATTTAATATTGACTAATAGGATATCACGACGTGCAAAAATATTGTTCTTACACATTTTAAATACTTATTTTGATAGTGTTTCAGAGCAGTCCAAGTATTCACCAGAATTTCAGAACAAAGAAGGCAAATAAAGTCTGTTTTGAAAATTAGATACTTTTCTTGACTTCCAGGGTTTTTGATACTCTTTCTCTGTATGTTTAATATTTGCCACTGTGTCCCAGGGTTCCATGTCATAGCAGCCCTCATTCCATTCAGGAGGAAATGAGTGTCTGCCATGGCTCCATGGAGAGTTCTTAAAAGCCTGTCTGAGGCCTGGCTGGTATCACTTGGGTTGACTCCTTCCATAATGTAAAATCCTGACTTTTTAATAAAAGTGTAATCTGGTACATTCACTTCAAAATACAAAATTTACTCTTGGTATTTTTAACACCATCAGGTAAATAAAGTTAATAATTAAGACACAAGAATCAGTTCTTCTGAAAAATACAAAGAACAGTTTTTATTTAAATTCAATGCCAAGTAATAGATTTAGCTATGAATTTAGCTGAGATTTTATAGCATTGCAGAGATGTAACATTGTTTTTAAAGTCTGCACATGTGAAAATTCAAATAGCCTGAGGATTTTCTCTGATGAAACAATTTTTTTGCATGAATCCAAGAAACGTGAGCCTTGGAGATTAAAAATAAGTTGCCGTTTTCTGTGTTGCAAAACAATTGACAGTAAATGGAATGTCAAGCAGTGATGATTCCTCTCCTTCTATGTGTCATGTTTCATTTCCTAAAGGCAATTTTTTTCACTTATATAGTCATTATCCCATTGCTTAAATTTGTGTGAAATTCACTTCCATGTTGCTTAAACTTCATTCTCTTCATATACTAAGTTTCTTAATTCATTGCTCCATCACCTGTATGTGATTACTATTAACAATACCCCTGTTTTTGTTGTGTAACTTTATAAGCTTTACCTGTTTGTGCTGAATACTTAAGATTTTCCTTCAATCAAATGAAAACTAAAATGGAAATAATTAAGTTCTATCTTTAGAAGTCTGTTGTGTAATTTGTCAGGACTCTCACTGACTTGACCCATTAAGAACTACCTAGAGAATTAAAAGTTCAGAAACTCTGAAGATAGTTTCCTTCTCTTTTGTTAAAAAAACAAACACTCTCATATCTCTGCATTCTTATCTGGAAATAAGATCATACTGAAGGAAAATCTTTTGCATTACCATTGTGGCTAGAGGCTCAAATAGTATGAAATGGCATTGCTTCATCTAATTGATGGAGCTACATCAATTTGCACCAGATAAAGGGAAAAGCTTTCTTCCAGGGCACTATAAGTGACATTATGTTAAGCTGTTGAACAAGAGTTTTTATGAAATGTTGCAGTGGATCAATAGTAGATGACCATTAATTTATACTGTAGAATTTGTTCTGATTTCTAAACATTTTACTATACTTCAAACTGAGCCACATTAGTTAAAAGATAATTTAAAGTAAAAGATAATTTAAAATTGTTTATAAATTGAAAATAAGCTTTTTTCCTAGAACAGACAATTTGGATCAATCATCGTATTTAATTTGTTCTGCTTTAATTGCTTTTATGTGCCTATAGACACAGGTATCAAATTTATTTGGCCAATAAACATGAAAACATTATAAATATAAATGTTTACCCTATATATCACATTTGCATGATCAATATTTAAAGATTCTCTCCGTATTTAAGTTATTTCTTCATTTATACTTGAAATTCTATTTAATGAATAAATAAAGCTTATGGGATCTTTCCCCCTCTCTTTTTCAGGCTCAGAAATCATGGATAGAGCGAGCATTTTACAAGAGAGAATGTGTTCACATCATACCCAGCACCAAAGACCCCCATAGGTAATTGCAATGCTATATACTGCCTATTATTTTGCTACATTTTGTTAAATTACTACATAATTACAAGAAAATGATTGTGTAGATGATAATTTTTCCAAATTCTGAGTATGTTGGACAAAGATTGGATTGTTTTAGAACCCTCAGAAGGATGGATTTCTATGACATTTGGCACCAATACTTCATACACTCCAGTAGGTGTCAATTGAAATACAAAGCCTGAACTTATATCAGTGTTTCATTTCAAACTCATTCATCTGCTTGGTGATTGTATTTGAGTCCCTTGAATATTTATAGGCTATATTAGAGACATGCTAGTATTGTAAGAGACTGATAGATACATGTATGACTAAAATAGGTTGCTGTCTATGTGAAAAAATTTTTTAGCTTAATATGATCTTTGCAAATGTTTAGCGTGTATTACAGAAAAAAGTCTTTGCCTTATTTTTTATATTTAGGACAAAGTGCTTTTTATTTAGTTTTAAATAATAACAGGACATGACATAAATGCGAATTAAGAGTCCAGAAAGTCATAGCTATATTGTAACAGTCTCTTCCATTGATATTTCAATGCATTTGCTACAAGACGGGACTTCTGACAACGCTATAAAGTTGCTTCATCCTGAAAATGACTTTCTAAGACCTCTGCAATGCATACAATGAGTTTCTTTAAATATAGTGTGTTCCATTGTTAGTCCAAAAAACACACATAATTTTTGCTTACTACCGTAGGTGTTGCTGTGGGCGTCTAATAGGTCAACATGTTGGATTGACTCCAAGTATTTCCATTATTCAGAATGAGAAAAATGAGAGCAGACTGGCTCAAAATGACAGCCAGCCAGAGAAGTGGTCCATCAGCAAGCACACTCAACTCAGCCCAACTGATGCCTTTGGGACAATTGAGTTTCAAGGAGGGGGTCACTCCAATAAAGCCATGGTAATCCAAACTCTTTCTTAAAATACTAAATAATGCTAATAACCCCCAAAAGGCATTCACAGACTAATGAACAAATATCTTCTCCTTTCTGAATTCATTTAACAGTTTTACTTGCTTGAAACCATTTTTTCTTTTTTTAGGTTTCATGGGTCATGGAAGGAAAAAGGTAATTGGGCTATAATATAAAATCAACGGCAAAAACTGCAGTTCTACAAGAAAGGGGCTATTGGATACGATAGAGGCACTATCATTGAGTGATTTGAGTGAGGGACAGGATGTCTTGGCTACCTCTACATTCCTGACATTTACTGAGGCTACGTCTACGTTGCAGCATTATTCAGGATACCAGAGAGATCCCCAAACATCTATCCCGTGTCTTAACAGCAGCACCGTTATTTTGAAATATAATGGGCTTGCTATTCCAATGTCCCTGTAAACCTCATTCCATGACAAATAAGGGATGTTTCAGAATAATGGGTTGTTTTGAAATTTGGAACTGTGTAGACAGTGCCAAATTACAAAATAAGCTATTTTGAAATTGACTCAAAATAAGCTACATTATTTGCACAGCTCAAATTGTGTAGCTTATTTCAAGCTCTTGGTGCAGTGTAAATGCACCCTGAGTGACCAAAAGCAAGTCAGTTACTATTTCAGGAAAAGGTATATACTATGTGGTTTCCTTCAATTCACATTTATGGTTCTATGGATATTTTTCATGGAGTTGTGTGTACACCCTCCGACAGTGTCTATTCTTCCAGTGCAAACCCAGCTTTTCAGGTATGAGAGTAAATGTTTGAATTTCTAGTTCCTTTTGTCCACCTTTCTAGCATTCCCTAGAGTTGTACTGTTACTTCTTCCTTCTCTAAATTCTTGCTTCCTCCTCCTTGTTCCTCTCTTTGATAGCCATCCCCCATACTTTGACTAATCCATAACATTATTAGAATCCTGGTAAATCATAACCTGTCATGTTTTGGTAAGGTTGAAATGTACTTTATTTCTCTTTCATTTTGGACAATATGCCTGTCAGAGTCAGTAAATCAACATAGGGAAGGATTTCAGAAAAGTTGAGAATTTGAAAGTCAATGGCAGTTAGTTGAAGCAAAATGCAGGACAATGTAGCACTTTAAAGACTAACAAGATGGTTTATTAGATGATGAGCTTTCGTGGGCCAGACCCACTTCCTCAGATCAAATAGTGGAAGAAAGTAGTCACAACCATATATACCAAAGGATACAATTAAAAAAATGAACAAATATGAAAAGGACAAATCACATTGCAGAACAGAAGGGGGATGCGGGGGGGGGGGGGGAGGAGGAGGAAGGAAGGTAAGTGTCTGTGAATTGATGATATTAAAGGTAGGGAGAGTGGGATGTTTGTGAGTTAATGGTATTACAGGTGATAATTGGGGAAACTGTCTTGGTAATGGGTGAGATAGTTCAAATTCTTGTTAAGTCCTTGTTGGCAAGTGTCAAATTTTAACATGAATGACAGTTCAGAGGATTCCCTTTCAAGTGCAGATGTAAAAGGAGTAGTTAGGTGCTTAACAGGTGTAGTTAGGTGTAAAAGGTGTAGTTAGATGTAAAAGGTGCAGTTAGGTGCTTAACAGCCATTTGTGCCTTTGAAAATCTCCACTTGTATCTGTTCCTGAGGTAGTAATTCTGGGTTCTGATACTTCACAGTGTCACTCATGATGAGTAGATAGAGAAATAGCTAGAAAATTACACTGTTTCCCTGAGGGTCTAACAAAACCTTAATGCTCGTTCAGTGGAACCTGAAAATTGAGAGAGGAAATCAGCTCACTATTCACTGTAATAGAAAAGAGTGTACAAATATGTCTATTTCAGTATAAAATAAAATAGAATTTGTCTAAAAGGAATAAATCAAGCTACTCATTTCACAGTGCTATATATTGTATTCAGTAGAAGCAGTATGCTTCTTACCAATGCAATTGAAGTACAGTGCTCTAAAATATGGCAAGGAGCAAAAAACTGTACTCACCAGCTGGTATCATGCTCATTGTAAGAACTTCTGCCACATTTGTACAATAAGTAGTACATAATAAGTGTGATGGTAACACTGTTCTTGGTTTTCTTTTAAGAGTTTTTTTCTTAGGGTAGATGTAATGAATCACCTTCTGAGAATCTGTCAATGTTATTGTACCCATGCATGTCCCAGAATATTAGCGAGACCAGGTGAGTGAGGTAGTATCTGTTGATGGACCAACTTCTGTTGATGCATGAGAACAGCTTATTCAGATCTATAGAAGTGCTGTGTGTAAGCTCAAAAGCTTATCTCTTTCACCAACAAGAAACTGGTTCAGTAACTTAGGCACCTGTGTCCTAAGAATTTGAGAGACATGGTATAAGAAATCAGCAAAACCAGCGAAACCTATGTAGTGATATTCTTTTCCTTATTTAATTGATACTGTGTATTTGCCTACAGCAATAAAGTACCCTGTAAGCTAGTGTTTCTTAAACTGTGTTCTGCGGCACTGGTGTGCCGCAGAGAGCAGAATTCAAAATGGCCACCCTTAAAGGGGCAAGTGACTTTTTTTGGCTCAATAACAAAAACTTGTTTGGTGTTCCTTGGTCTTAAAACGTTTACGAAACACTGCTGTAAGCTGTATGCATGTATGGCTACTCAGAAGAGCTGATTAGAAGAGCGCCCACAGCGAGATTGTTGTTTCTACTGGTGGTGCACTTTTGCATGTGCCTCAGTGCACATAAAAAACTTATTCTGCACATGGATGGAAAAAAAATCCACACATGGATGGAAATGATTATCCTTTTAATGCTTGAATGGAATTATTTGGATAAATTAACTCTCTTATGACAGTATATTTTTTGAGATAAGATGAGTGATGGTTGAGAAGTTAAAAAAGGGGTATTTCCTCATTTCTTCTGGCATTTGAGTGACCAGTTAGTACCACATACACATTTCTAGATAAAAAATTAGTCAGTATTTTCTTTACTTTAATGAAATGGTTAATCCTGCTAATACTTAGGAAAAAAATTTTGAACTCAATATTTAACTTAAGGAAACCCTTTAGAGTTTTATATTTAACTTCTAAGTGCCGCCCCTCTCCACCCCCGCCGCCCGCAATCAAAATAAAACACCCAGGCATAAACAAAAAAGAAAGGACTCTTGCTATTAATTATTTTATTATAATTAAGGACCCAGACACACACACACAATTTCCCCCCAAAGTCCCTTACTGTCTAGCTGTAACAGACACAGAAGACAAGATATATTGGAAAACCCAGAGGAGGAAATAAGTAGGATTTTGTTGTAATAAAGTTAAGTGGTAATATAAACCTGCATTAATAAATCAAAACTGTGAATTTGCAGGACAGAGCTCATTAGGGTATCGTTAGTCTGTCTCCATGTATTAATCTCTCCTCTATTTGTTGGGATCAATCTTCTTTTTTATCAAATTATTTGAACTGTTTTATTACCAAAGACCTCTTAAATATAGACCTTGTCTCACCCAAAAACTGGTAGCATGAGTTAATAAAGCACTTTGTGTTTCTCCAAAAATGTTTGGGGTATTATTTCATGAGGACTACCACTGTATCACATACCTATTGTACACTGCTCACTCAGTGTTCTCCTGAAAAAGACCTCCATCCCACAAAAGGCTGGGAAGGAGGCTAAGCAGTGCTAACTTCCATCCTCTTTTGAAAGAGGTCATGTGCTATCAGAAGAAGGGAGACAGGAATGTTAAAACAAAAGACGGGACTATGCAGCACTTTAAAGACTAACAAGATGGTTTATTAGGTGATGAGCTTTTATGGGCCAGAGCCAAGGCTTTGTCAGTTATAGATCACCTAGATTGAGGGGGATACCACCCAACAGATTTGTTAGCTGGATTTGAGAGATACAATACCACGCTTTAAGGCAACTGTTTGAAAAAATTGAGACTGGATTTAGGTGGACTCCTAGTGAATTATAAAACAGTACATGGTATGCCATCAAGTTTTATATCAACACCAACCCCAAGAATAAATGTATGCAAATGTAGTTTGACAGTCCTTTTTTATTTGAGGGAAGAATATATAAAATAAGAAAAATGAATTGACTGACTAAACATATTTTGGGGATCTGGTCCCTGGTAAACCAGATGTAAACAATCATTCATTGCTGCAGCATGCACTGAATTTAATGGACTTAACTAAATTGTTGTCTTGAATTTTTTCTCACACATATAATTCTGGAAACTCTTTCATTAATTGGGACATCTGACTCCTAAAAAGATTTCTAATGAACTCTGCTTTGCTGAACTAATGTTGCTTTGGTCATGGTTATACAAGGTTGGATGGAGATGATGGCTTCTTGAAAGGTTTCCAGTGAATTAAACACATTAGTTATATCTTTAATAACTTCCTGCTAATCCAGAGTGTTCAAATGATATTTTTAAAATGCTTATTGAGTAGTTAGCATATTTTGCAACTGCAGAAGACAACGTTTATTACTGTGGAATGGGCTCAGTGTCCTTAACATTGTTTTTCATGTTGCAATCCATTTGAAATAATAAGGTTACTAGAGAATAAAATACACAAAGGGCTAGATCCAAAGCCCCCTGAAATCAGTGAGAATTCTTACATTGAGTTTTATGAAATTTTAATTGGCTCTAAAATAGCAAAACAATATTAACTAATAAAGCTCCAATCCTGCTTATGTTAGCTAATGAGTTTTTGCTCTTATAATGGGAGCCCGATCAGACCTTTTGCTGTAGGCACAAACAGCAAAAGATTCAGAGATTCAGTTTAGTTTAGAAAAGTATCTGGAGCTTGAGACACTTATTTGAAATGGCCATCTCCTTATGCAGTAGTCACTAGTGAGAAAATGTGGAAGGAAGTGCCAGATTGCATTGTAGAAGGCAAAGTATTAGGCAATATGTTGATCTAGGGAGAATTCAGAAGCACTAAAGTGTTGTATCTTGTCAACAGCAGAATGGGTCTGTACAGTGAGTTTGTAGGTTTCTTCCTCAAATTATCATTATCAGTAATAAGCCAGACACGATGCATATTGCAGTTTATAATATGTATTCAAATAGAGGTATTGTGATTGGAGTACTGTATGGCTCATGTATGAAAAATTTTACCAATAGCTACTACTGTAGCTCAATTCTAACCTAGGTTGGGCTATTTTGCCGCCATCTGGGTTTTTATTGATCAGTGAAAAATGAAATCAAGCCTCTGGTTAATCCCTTGAAAAGAAAATTAATCTTCATCGTGACAGCTATTAAGTGATATTCTTCCTGGCAAACTCAGTAATCAAGCCATGGATTAAATGGACATGGAAATTTGAACTAATCTTTCAGCCGGTGAGGCAAAGTGTATTAACAAATTGCTGTGGTTGAAATTGTACTTCTGTTTCCTATCTTGGTACCTGTTTTGTTGATGCATAGTAGATGTAAGTCTTTGATACTGATCATCTGGCTTCTGTCACCACATTTTTGTTTATAAAAATATAATCACTTCTGAAACTTGTAGTAGGGAAGCTGCCCACTTTGGAGGGGTTGAAAACAGTCCAGAGGGAGCCCAGGCAGATCCTAGCCAAGAGGAAAGGGCTTCTAGAGACAACCAATAAGGAAAGGACTTGTTGAGGCAGCCCAGATATAAGGGGCTGTTCAGCAGAGGAAATCAGGTGAGTCTCTCTCTTCACCAGTAAGGGAGCAGAACTGGTTGCCTGGGGAGGTACCTTAGATAGAACTGTACTGGGCAGGGTAGCGAGGTAGAGGAAGACCTTGAATAAAGTGTTATGGGAAGTGGCCCAGGGAAAGCAAGCAGTGAAGGGGGAAGTGGAGGAGGGCAGTAGGGCATTGCTAGTAAAAAGTCTCTGGGTCGGGGAAGGCCTGGATCTCACCCACTTGCCAGAAGAGAAGAGACTGGGGTGAACCAGACTGCAGTTTGCTTCTGAGGTGAAGGGGGCTGGACTCGAGGCTGCAGTTTTTTACTGAGGCAAGTGGGAAGACCAAAGGACTGGGAGCTAGGGCACAGCCAGAGGGCGGTATCCTGAAGAGGGCACTGTTCTGGGAGTGACGTGAGTCCAGAGCTGAACTGAAGGAGAGAGAATGGTGTGACAATGGGAGAGACCTCATTAGAAGGAGGGTGAAGAGCTAATCGCCAGGCAACCAGCAGGAGATGTAGTGGTAGTGATTGTGTGCCCTGTTAGAGCTGAAAAGCAGCTATCAGATAGAGACACTTGAGGGAGCCTGATGGAGCTGAGAAGTGGTTCCGCTCAAGTTCATAGTTAACTTTAAAAATGTTTCCGAGCAAGCCGTGGTGAAAGAAGCCAGTAATGGCTGCAGTATTCTAAATGGAAAAGGCCAAATGTTCCACTAGAAAACTGAGAGAGATAAATTATTAATATGATCAAAAATGCTTTCAAAACCATTTATTCATAATTTACTGGGTGCTTTGGCAGCAATGACAAAAGAATTATCTCATACACATTTAATTACATCTGAAATGATGACAAAATAATTATCCCAGGCACACCAAACTGAAAATGTTCTCCCACGAGAACTAGAATGAATAAGATAATCACAAAATTGAAGTCTGCGCATTTCTTCTATGGAAAAGAGAATCCAGCATTTTAGCTGCTTTGTCCTTTCTCAGAGGAGTTTCTAAGATTTAAATGTCCTTTGCATAGCTGGTTCTTATAGCTGAAAAAGCCCACTTAGATTTGTGTTTACTCAAATTTTGCCTTAAAATGAAAAATGAAATTTTATAATGTGGATAGTCCTTTTTTCTCTAATAGATGAGAAAAAATGGTCATTTGAAGTTAGTAATAGAAAATTTTCAGACAAATGAGGAAATATTTCCTCAATAACTTGTAGTCTTATGGATTTGTTACTGCTGGAAACCATAGAAGTGGCTGAATAAGGGGTTAATATTTTTACCAGTTGGTAGTTATGAAAGCTAAACTGGGGTTAATGAAATCACATGTTTTATTGAATAAACTTCAGAAGGAAAGCTTCTGTCCTCCGGTCACCCTTTTACAACATGGTTAATGTTCACCATAATCAATTTTTGCTTTAATTTTAAACTTTAGGTTTCTGTCATGAGTAGAGGCAGAGTACAGGACTTGATCTGAACGTGAATGGCACATGGGATGGTCCTGTGATCCCTTGTAATAAATCTATATGAACATCGTCAGTTAAAATGCACATATTCTCATGGGCAATGAAACACATGGGCTGTCATCACTAGCAAAGCAGGAACATAATACTCAGGCCAAAAGAAAATTTTCATTAGGGTTGCCAGATGGTTTCAACAAAAATACCGGACACACTTGACATAACATCACAATCTACATTACATCTTATTTAGAAAATACCAGACATTTATATTTTCTCATTTATATTTTCTAAATTTGTTTCCCGAATAGAAAGCTCAAATACTGGACTGTCCAGTTCAAAACTGGACACCTGGCAACCCTAATCTTCATTCCTTCAACTATATAGACAGTTCAGCCTTTTGAGATGTTGAGCATTCTCAATAATAGTTAAAGTATGTGGCTACTGACCCCTGCCATCGATTAGTGGTATAACCTTTTGTAACCCTTGTCTTGTGACAGGGTACAAGAAATAAACACCAGTGTCTTACCAACATTCCCGTGTCACAACTCTGTTATGCCTCAATTTTGATTGAAGTCTATTATAGTCAGCACACTCGAATGCCTAGCAGAGCTTACCTTTCAATTTCAACAATCTAGCCCTGTGCCCCTTAATAGTAAAAAGACTTAGCTGTCAGCTCTGTTAGGAGCAATATTATTATAGCAATGAGAATTAATATTTTTGAATTCTGGCATGTTTTTCAATTTGTCTAAGTTCTATTCTGTTAGCTTTCTCATGATCATTTGTGCAAATGGGATTCTGTTCACAGGAATATTGAGAGTGGCTATTCACGTGAAGATCCATATTTACACGAAACCATATATATTAGTATTCATGCCAGAAATGCTCACTCCAACCACTCAGGAAGCAGAAACAAATTTACTGCAGCTGACCAATCACAGACCACCAATAAGAAATAGACATAGTAAAAGTGAACAAAATTTAATGAAATATATTAGCATAGCATGTTTGTTTGAAATTTAGTAGTAAATGTACTAAAACCAGATACACCTATCTGTGCTGAAGGTTATGCTAAGAAATATATAAGTGAGAAATATATTAGTGGAACACTCCAGAATAAATGTGTGCTCTCTAGTTCAACTAGAAGAGTTATTGGTTTGATGCAGGGTGAAATTCTATGGTCTGTCTTATGCAAAAGTTTAGTGTGCATGAACCTAATGGTGCCTTCTGGCTTTAAAATGTATAGTCACTGGGTAGTAAGTTATTCTTTATTGATCCTTACAAATAAAACAAGTTCAAAGGGCAACCTTAATTCAGCATTTTCCTAACTTCTGAGTGCTCGACTTTGTAACCCATTTTTGTATACAATATTTATTTAATTTAATATGTAAATTAAATGCAGATGTGCTCACTGTTATTATTTTCTTGATGTTTTCTATGTGTTCATCTAAAATAAAAAGTGTTCTAAATGGAGCTATGATGCCAACAGCCTCTGTGATCTTGGGCAAATCACTTAACCCCTCTGCCTTGATTTTGTCATCCAGAAGTTAATGATAATATTTATCTATTAGAATCTGACAAGGGTGTTGACAGGGGTGATTAATTATTGGGAAGAGCTTTAAAAAGGACCACATTCTGTGAAATTGCTACCTATAATTATGTCACGGTCTGTAGTTTCATAAATTCCTTTCTAATCCATCAAAGTTGCAATTCATTTTTTTTTTTTTTTTTTTTGTGGCAAAAGTTGTATGTTTTTAAAAATATTTTCTTGCGGTCAAGAGTCATAACCAACCTTTTTCTTTATCAATGCCCTTAATTCTGCAGTATGTACGTGTGTCTTTTGACACAAAGCCTGATCTTCTTCTCCATCTGATGACTAAAGAGTGGCAACTTGAGCTTCCCAAGCTTCTCATCTCTGTGCATGGAGGCCTTCAGAATTTTGAACTTCAGCCAAAACTCAAGCAAGTCTTTGGAAAAGGCCTCATCAAAGCGGCCATGACAACTGGAGCATGGATATTCACTGGAGGAGTAAACACAGGTAAGAAGCAACTTTTAAAATAAAAGCTTTGTGGCATCAAGCATCATTTTAACATTGTGGTTAAGAATCAGTCCAGTTGAAAGAGGCTGAACCATTTCATGTAATCTTTTTTTACTATGCATTAACAAGAAAATACCAGAATAATATGTGTTATGCAGCTCTTGAAGAATAAAATATTCACTAAAGCATGGAACAGACTGTGAAGTCAAAAAGTAGAACCTGCTGTGTCACAAACTAAAGTGTTCTGTCCGAGGGAATTTCATGAGACTCACATCAGTGGGCCAGTGATAGAAATGTAGCCGTGTTAGTCTGGTGTAGCTAAAACAAAATACAGGACTATGTAGCACTTTAAAGACTAACAAGATGGTTTATTAGATGATGAGCTTTCGTGGGCCAGACCCACTTCCTCAGATCAAATAGTGGAAGAAAATAGTGGGCCAGGTACCTTTGGGGAATAGAGTGATCTACAGCTAGTGGCCTGAAAGGATAGTTCATAGGTGTTACAAAAAAGAAACTTTTCATTTAATTAAAGGAAAATGTTTGCCTCAAATAAAATAAGGAGCCAGCTTTTATCTTTTACTTATAAAAACAACTCAGATGCAATGGAATAGAGTTTCTATTTTGTGTGCCTGAAAAAAACCTTTAATCTGAATCAGTCTTTTTTTCTTCTTCTTCTTCTTTCTAGATTAGGAATCTCAGGGTGCATCTACACAGTACCCTAAACTCAAAACAAGATACGCAATTTGCACAACAAAAATTGCATATCTTTTTTCAGCTGTATTTCAAAATACCTTATTTTGAAATTTGGCACATCTACACAGTGCCAAATTTTGATATAATACACTATTTCAAGACATCCCTTAACCCTCATGAAATGAGGGTTACAGGGATGCCAGAAGAGTGCGCTTGTTGTTTTGAAAAATATTTCAAAATAATAGGCATGTTTAAAAAACTCAGGGTACCTATTTTGGGATACCTCTAGTATCCCAAAATAGCCCCGCTGTCTAGACATACCCCAAGTGGGTTTTTTTCCCCTAATTGTCTTTGGAGAAACAGAAATAGCATATTTCAATTTTTATTCAAAGTTGAACACGTCTGGATTTTAGAGCTCTGTCAGGGAAGTAATTTGTTACCTGTCCACATGAGTTTCACTGTCATGGAGAGACTGGAATAGGGGTTGGGAGAGAGAGCCAGTGAGGAGAGGCACACCATCCTACATATGATGAATGATATTCCAACTTTAAGTTGCAGTACACACATGTAAATTGTTCTGACACGTTGTTTGTGTCTGAGTCAACACAGCTACCCTACGTCAATTTTTCAACATTATTTAATCCTTTCAGTGCCTATGGATGGTTGCATATTCATTCTAACATATGGACAATATGGGCTGATACAAAGCTCATTGGAGTAAATGGGGCTCTTCATATTGCTTTAAGTAGTTTGGATAAGGTATAACATATTTTGGAGCTCAGTTCAATTAGATGGTTTTTTGTTTGTTTGTAATGTTTGTTTGTATTGAATTAGAGATGTTTGGAGTAATTGTTCAGTTTTCTTTGTTTTTTGGCTGTGAGAGAATTTTGTCTTCAACTCAGCTTCAAAAAGACTGTTAGATAAACCATTGCAATGTATTATCCTAAAACCAATCCTGCTCATTTGCACGTACAACTATAAAATCAAATTCATGATTGTAGTTAACTGTAGACTTAAATTGGATGTCAATTGTACATATAAATTGGGTATCTGTTTTTTTTGTAAACCATAGTTTTGGATAAAAATTCTTTCCTGCATTTCCATTCTGAGTATATTAACAAGCCTTGTGACTGTTTATACAATCAAAGAACACTATAACTGGAAGGGACCTCAATAGGTCATGAAGTCCAGTCTCCTGCCCTCACAGCAGGACCAAGTACCAAATCAATCCCTGACAAAATGTCTTTCCAACCTGGTTTTAAATATCTCCAGTGGTGGAGATTCCACAGCTTCCCTTGGCAATTTATTTGTGTTTAACCAAACTGACAGGAAGTTTTTCTCAATGTCCAACCTAAAACTCTATTGCTGGAGTTTAAGCCCATTGCTTCTTGTCCTATCATCAGAGGTCAAGAAGAACAATTTTTCTGCCTCCTCCTTGTAACAACTTTTTAGATGCTTGAAAACTGCTATCATGTCCCCTCTCTTCTCTTTTTCTAAACTAAACAAACCCAATTCTTTCCATCTTCCCTCACAGGTCATGTTTTTTAGACCTTTAATCATTTTGTTTGTTTGTCTCTGGACTTTCTCCAATTTCTCCACATCTTTCTTGAAATGTGATGCCCATAACTGGACATAGTACTCCAACTGAGGCCTTCTCAGCACAGAGTAGAGCGGAAGAATCACTTCTTTTGCTCACAACACTCCTGCTAATGCATCACAGAATCATGTTTGCTTTTTTTGCAACAGTCTCACATTGTTGACTCATATTTAGCATGTGGTCCACTGTGACCCCTAAAACCCTTTCTGCAGTACTCCTTCTGTTATGGCTGTTAACATGAAGTGTATATCTACATAAGCTTCTGTGGCTCCCAATGTACCCATAATATGGTGGTATTCATATGCCATTCCATGCAATATGATAACTAATGCAGTAGTTACAGTTAGAGAGATAGTTTTAAGTTAATAAAAGTCATGATAGAAACCACCCTGAAATGTTGCCCTCAGAATATTTGTATTCATGACATAGCATAGGTAGCATATGCTTCACACCTCTCTCATCTATAAACAAATTGCTTTCTATATTCATCTGGTACCAGAAGCTGTATTCACAAGAAAACAATCGCTTTGGCAGACAGAGAAGACCTGCTCTGCACCATCAGGATGTTCACAGCTGCATGGGGTTGAGATGTGGGCATTTTGCCCTCATCTGCCAGACAATGTGGTGGCAGCCTGGGAGATTAAAAGATTAGGTGTCAGGGTTTGGGTTTTTTTAATGTTGATTTAAATGGATATAAGAGGGCAGTAGCTCTGGAGAAACTTGAGGTTATCATCTGACTGTTGAAATGCCGCTCATGTCACTCAAGGATTCATTAAACCAGAGGAGGGAAACAGTAAATAAAGCTGGTTTCTAAAAAAAATCAATCTAAGAATGTAATTCGGGGCCAGTCATCCTCTCAGTGAGTGCAAGTAGATTTTATGCAAAGTTGTCAGCAAAGGAGAGCAAGTGACATTAAATTCCTCCGTGCTATTGTGCTACTTAGCAGCAGTCAGGTGATAAAAATAGCTCTTCATACAAGCTGTGTCAAAACTATTATGAAAGTGAACTTACAAAGCAGAACAGAAAGCATGGGTCCAAGGGTAACTGCCTAGTTTGGCATATGGTCTTGTATATGTGCATTGTGCAGGAATTAGCACAGGAATGTAATTAAAGTAGCCAGAAATTGCTTTAAAGGACACAGACAGTGCAGATAGTAATTTCAGAGTATGGCAAGCCATGGGGCAGTCCTTTGTGTGTGCACTTGTCTTTACTTTCTTGTGATCCCTGCTGTTTTTCCCCTTGCTATGATAAACTATCTCAAGTGATTAGGCTTGTAGTCGATAGGAGGGCACCACTGCAGTCTACAGCTATGTGTAATGATGTTTTCACAACATTTCCATGAATATTTCCATCACCTTACTTGTGAATTACATGTCTGCAAGGCTTCACAAGTTTGAGGTGACAATTATTACATATTTTCTTCACCTTTTCTGTGTATTTCTGTGTACTGCAGGCATGTGGGTTCAGCTGAGAAAGAGAACAAAGTTATGATGGTCAATGTCTTTGTTTTCATTCGTTGTGCAACACTGTTGAATAAAGTTATATGCAAAATACACTTAGCTAGCAAGACCCTGTATGCATCAATCTAAATCACTTTATTGTGGTCCCAGATCTGCACGTGTAAGTGTGTGCTTAAAATTAAGTATTTCTCTAAGTGCTTTGCTGAATAGGGATGGGATTATTCACATGTTTAAAGTAATGCATATGATTAAGTGATTTGCTGATTCCAAAACAAAGTGACCAAAATGCTGTGCTTTGAATTTTTTATTATGTACCTGTGTCGTCTTTTTCAGGAGTCATTCGGCATGTTGGAGATGCATTAAAGGATCATGCCTCAAAATCCAGAGGGAAAATCTGTACCATTGGTATAGCCCCCTGGGGAATTGTAGAGAATCAAGAGGACCTGATTGGCAAAGATGTGAGTCCTAGGGGATATGTGTCCTCTACTACATATCAGTATATTCTGGGGTATTTTCCAATGCTTCTCAGGTACAAGCAATGCTTGTAGTGAAGCTTGTCATTGAAATGCTAACATACATTTTCATGTTCTTAAATGTATACGTTATGGGAGCATATCAAGATTAGAACAGGAAATCCCTCTTGTGGATTACGTAAGGCTCATGAAATAAGGCGTTGCAGCATGGGTGATGGTAATCAGAGGCAGGGAAAACTGCCTCCCCTGGCCTCACTCATGCTCCATTGGAGTCCCACAACCTGTTGTGGTGCCAGAGGCTGGGGATGTAATGCCAGTCCTCCGAGTGCTAGGACCACTCTGACTGTCCAGTGATGTAGCTAGCAGCTCAGCTGCGGAGGGGCCTTACTGGTCAGTGGTGCAGGTGGCTGGGGCAGGCTACAACTGTACCAGGATTGCAGGAGACTGGTGGTGCCACCCTGGCACAGGGAAAAGACAAGTTCCAGCAGACACATGAGCGGTGGGTGCTCAGGGTCCAGCAGCAGCCACTGGGGACTGATGGGTGTGGAAGGGGTGAGGCTGTGGGGGATTGCCTCCCCTAAGCATGGGGTCACCCATTTCCCATGCACTCCAGTTACTTCTAGTATCTTTATTCCTTTTAAAAATAAAATACAAAGAATTTCCATTGAAAATCTAGTTTAAAAGCATGTTCAAGTTGCGCAGTAAATCATTAAATGTCAGAGGATGACAAAGCGTACGTTTCATGCACAACTTGAAATCTGCCCTCCTTTGCAAATCTATTGTGTTGAGGTCTTTAATTCCATACTATACCCTAGCTACTATATTATATTTAATTATTCCACAGACCTGGAAGGCACATATTATGTGAATTCATTATTCATAAGCCAGGGCTCCACAAGTCAAGGCTCACATATCTTATAAGACACAAATAACATTTACCGTGCGTCTTTCTTCATGTCATCCTTTTTATCGGTCCACATGCTTGAGAATTGTAGTCTGGCATAGCTAATTTAAACTGTTTAGCAATTTTGCAAGGATACCATAGTCTCAGTGTCAGATGGTATTTTTTTGGCTGAAGGTTGCCATCAGTTACAACCATGCAACCCCCACTGAAGTCAGTAGCATAGATGAGGTAATATCTTTTATCAGACCAACTTCTGTTGTTGGCATGTACAAGCTTTTGAGCTTCACAAGGCTAGAACATTTATGGCATTTGAAATGTATGTATAATAGACAAATTGTACTTTATCTAAATCCTTCATATTTTGATAGTTTAGATAAAATGAAACTAGACTGATCAATGAGGGAGTGCAAAATTAAACCACTTCTGTGTCTTCCCATCCTTAATATGTAATATCTTTATTTTATTCAATGGTTCAAGTTCATGGTTTTTTACGTTTTTTGAAGTGTATGTGCATCTCTCAGCCACAAACCCACAATGTAGTTCATTGTTTTGGAGAAAAATAATTAAAGGAAACAACGATTCAAGCAAGGAGGATGACCTATAATATACATAAAACATTATCATCTGTATATTTAAAAACAGAGTTCAATGTCATGAAACTTACAGAAAAGATTAATAGAAAACAGAAGAATAATGTACATCTTGGTCCATGATTTGGTAAAACAACTCATAATAAAGTAAAGGAAAAAAGTACAATGAAAAATTAATATCATAAATATAAATCCACAACAGATCCACCAACAGTAAAAGACTTGGATTTGATATCTGTTGTAGTTCTATGCTTTTGTGCATTATGTCTAGTTAGCTTAATATCACAACTGAAAAAAATGTCAAAACATCCCTTCGTTTGGGTGGAGCAGGAGATATTTTTACCACCACTGGAGATAGAAAATTTGCTTCCACATGTGATATTTTGATATTTACAAGGGTGATATTTACAATGGTGAGAATCTCTCTCACACATGTTCTCTCTCATGTGTGAGAGAGATTCTCTCACATGAGAGAGAACATGGCATGTTGGCCCAAGCTAGGGAGCATGGGGGCGTCATTTGAGCTCCCCACCTCAGGTGCCAAAATGTTGTAGGCCGGCCCTGGTTACATTCTTGCCAACACTCCCAGCAATAATTTAGGCTGAGGGTTGTCAATTTAGTGAGAGATCAGACTCAATACTCCAACAAATTTTGTATGTTTTTAATGTTGCATGTTAGCCTAGGCCCCTAGGAATTCATTTGTCTTTTTTCTCTTTTGATGCCTGCAGTAGGTTTTGCCCCTTTCACTCTTAAATAAATTAACATTCTAGGATGAATCCTTGTTTTAAAAAGTCACAAAAGTTATGAGCCACAAGCTACACGGCTAAATAGTCCCATTGATTTTAATGGAAGTTTTGTGAGAGAAAGGACTGAGTTCAGACTTCAGTAATGTCTTGCTTTAGACTGTGGACTCCATCTTTCGGATCTGCCCTCCAGCTTCCCCTGCAGTTTTTCAGACTTTAACAGGCTACCAAGATGGGCAGGGCCAATGTCCCTCCTTTTCTCTGCCCACTCCCCACTGCATCCGCACGACCTGCTCCTTTCCTCTATTACTGTTAGCCACATATTGGGAGCTGAGGCAGGAGACCAGAGGAGAAAGTGCTCAACAGATATCAGGGGAAGAAAGGAGTCACAGTAGCAGTAAGAATGCAACCTAAGTGCTTTTAACGGGAAAGTCCAGTATTTAAGCCCTCTTGAAAGTGTTCCAACTTTTTTTTTTTTTTAATTGGTGAATTGTCCAGTATTTTCAGTTCTGGCTGAATTCTAACTACATAGTGATAACTTCAAGCCTCTCTGAAGGTTTCAATTTCTCATTTTTTACTGATTTCTTGTCCTTTTGTTCTTTCAAATCCAAGTTTTCTGGGCAAGTTAAAACAAAGTATTATGAAAACAGAATACAACTTTTTCAGAGACTTCATCTTTATCACAGTTAAGTTGAAATGTCTACTCTTGAATTAACTTCTCTAGAGTTATCCTGGTTCAATTGAGTATGTGCACGCTGAGGAAAAAAAGCACTCAAATTTCACACACGGATTAAATTACTGCACGATGATTGTATCAGTGTCTCAGCTGTGTTACACTGAGATGTAGTTCTCTGATCTTTATTGTAATAAGAAGTATCACAGATATAATGAACTGTTTGTGCAGTCTCCTTATTCTCTCATTTCTTCTTTAGATTAATAGTATAGTTCACATCCTTGTAGATACAAATCTTCTGGCTTGACAGCAGACATGAAAACAGACTATTTCCTTCTAATCTCCATCTAAGCAGCACTATTGAAGCTGCACAATGCTATCCCCATAGCACCTTTTGAACTGCACCTCTTTAGCACTATAGGAACATTACTATCTGAAGATACTTAACAGTTGTAGAAATCCTTGCATCCTATTTTGCAAACTACAGGTTAATTTTTTTCCTCTTTATAATCTTGTAGTAGGTAGGCAATCTTCTCAGAATAACTTTCTTTGGTTACATGCCAGAAAGTTAGGGCAAAACAGTGGATAATAGTAACCAACTTTAAGGTTTCTTTGGCCCTAGGCAAATAATCCATGGTCACTTTACTAATATAAGAAAATTGAGCTGATTAGTCTATTTCAACAAAGCATTAATATTTATTACCATTTACTCCTTTGTAGAATAAATGCTTTATGACTGAGGGGGTAAAAAGGAAAAACATAAAAGAAACTATAGTCAAAATCAATCTCCTATTCCAGTACAGGGAGGAACTGCACAATATTGGCAAGCCACCTGGTCCTTTCAGTACTACTTATTCTCTCTCCCTAGCAAATGCCTAACTGAATACTGCTCTGTGTGATAGTTTATAACAATTACAGAGGTCTGTAGGTTTTCATTTGCTTTCAAAGGACCAGAAAATACTGTAAGTGCTGACATTTTAAGAGCATAAAGAGAGCCCTCTGGCCAGGGAATTTTAAAACCAGTGCTGCTATTTATACTTTACTTTTTCATCCTAAATCTTTTTCAATAACAAGAGAAAAGGGGACTTCAGTTCTTTCTCAAGACTTGTTTACATGGAGAAGCTATTGCAAAATAAACTAGGGGTGAATTTGAAGCACAGTAACTATTCCACACTGGCTCCCCATATGGAAGTTTTTTCTGCTGAGTGCCTTTTTGTGGATTCGCTTTATCCACTTCCAAAGTGGAAATTTAACTCCAAAAAGGCACTCTTAATATGGAATATGCACACCTACATTGGGAGCTAGTATGGAATAAGTATTGCCTAGCTATTTCCTCAGGTAGACAAGCCCTTAATTAATAGCAGATTCTCTTCCCTTGCCCCTTTAAATTAAGATTTCCCTGCTTCCATCTGATAGAGATAAGAACATGTACCCAAATCAGCAGGACAGTAAAAGACATAATTTGGGGGTGGGGAGTGTTAAATAGTAATACTAATCTAGAAGAAAATTGGTTTCATACCAAGTACAGTGCCATGATGTGCTGTATTAAATCACTCAGTCTTATCATAGGTATTCACAATGAGCCTATAGCTCATATATGTCAGAGCAACTTGGTTTGATCTTACAGAATTAACGTGATAGCTCATTGACAATTTACCAGAACTATGCTTTAGTCTGCAAAATAGTTTTGTCTTATTCATTAGGTGAATAAGTTATAGGAAATGTATGAACTCCCTACTAAATAGAACATTTTAATCCTACTGTACATTTCTACAATTTTTTGTTTTTGACATAATGTAAAATTTGTTGAGTGGGGTTTGGGGAGAGGGGCTGGTTAGGTCAATAAATTATTGCTGAAATGAGTATCAATTCATTTTATTTTCCTAAGATTTTTCTCTGCCTCTAACTCTCCCCCCCCCCTGCTATGGGAGCAGCTGCTGGAAAGCTACATTCAGAGCTGCTTCCTTCTCCCCATGCCAGGGTCCAAACCACAGGTGTTCCTAAATCAGGAATACCTGAAGTATGGAGGTTCGGGTGTATGTCCAGATAACTTGTAAAAGCATTACATTAGTAATGGATGGAACTAGTAGTATTACACCGCAGTACAGTTTTATAACTACATCCCATGGTAATACCCTAGATTACTATTGGTTGTTTTTAGTAACAATAGAAGTTCTAGATGCAGCACAGGAAACAAACAGAAGACCAGCCTTCATCCCCAAGAGCTCACCAACTATTGTTGTCCACCATGTCTTACACCAAAATTTGATTGTGCCTCCTCTTGCAATGTATCATGTCGCACTAGTACAGCTATAAGTCATGACAGACAACATTATCTTTTAAAATGTTAAATAATTTGTCACCAAAGTTATTTTATTAATTAAATTGGATTGGTACTAAATACTATACAGCTCAGTAGTTGAGTACGTTCTTAAAATATAGCACTGCTGGCACAACTGGGTTACTTGTAGTAAATTTGCAAGCTTGTATATATTAACTATTATATTTGCTGATATGACCTGGGATGTATAGTATATTACATGGCTGCAATGTGTGTATTCCTCCGAGGATGAAATTCATCACAATGCGGGGGGCCTGCACATGGCCCTTTCTCTATTTTGAGGTCTTCAGCAGCCTTTATCATTTAAGTGATGTAAAGGTTTTGCCTTGGCTATCTGTATAAATGTGAATTTCACCTTGAGTTAAGGAGGAAAACAAAGTGGAAGGAGACGTTTGAGCAAAGACAGCACAAGTGGTAGAACGTAGATTAGACTTTTACAGAGAACAGTTTTCATTCTGCTGGTGAATGCTATGAAGAAAGAATGAGGCACAGAAATACTGCAGAACAAAAACTCCTTACTGTTGGATTTATAGGAGGAAAGATAATCTCACAATGGAAATATCTATTTGAAGCACAGACTGATGAAAATAATATAAGTAAGGGGTGTGTAATTGTTTAGGTAGAATAAAAAATGTGATGAGTGCTCTAAAATGCTTAAAGATGACTGAAATGTAATAGTATTCAGACTACCAGTGCCATTGAAATAGAATACTGTAAAATTCTTTTTAATAGTAGTAGCCATTTTAAGTCAATATTTGCCAAAAAATACTACGCTGTTGCAAGTGTCACAGCTATTTCCTATGCATTGTATACATGGCAACTGCAATATCTCTCATATTCTGACATAGTAACTATTGGCAAACAATTATTTCAATAGTAACCACTCTACAACTCAGCAAAATTATTTTGGACCTCATGATTGACTTTAATAAGAGATGTTGACTGTTTTGACCTATTGAGCCATCTTTGTGTCTCTAATGCAGGTGGTACGACCATACCAAACAATGTCCAATCCTATGAGTAAACTCACAGTACTCAATAGTATGCATTCCCATTTTATTCTGGCTGACAATGGGACCACCGGCAAATATGGAGCAGAAGTAAAGCTTCGTAGACAGCTGGAAAAGCACATCTCACTTCAGAAGATAAACACAAGTGAGTAACATCTTTTCTCTATTATTGTGTACATTACAATTATAGGAGGGATACTGAGATTCTAAGTAGACAATAGTATATCTAAAAAGTACGTTTGTTTTTTAATTGGTGAACAAGAGTTACTGTATGTTAAAGTTAACAATCACATTTTAGGCGTACAAATGTAGAAGCAGAGCTCAATGATGTAGGTTGAATTTGTTTCTGCTAGTTTATCATCATAATGACCAAAGCTATTAGGCTTCATTCCATAGCAAAGTTAGATTGAGTCCAAAATCTTTCTGTCGTGGTACTAATATTTCTATATCCCTTAAGTACTTTCAAAGATAAAATTAAAACTTGGGATAATGTTCCATTTTGCAAGCTGGGAAGAAAACAGTTGATTTTTAATAGTTATTGAGTCCATGGTCTCTTTGCTGTGAACTTTCAACAAAGGGATATTTTAGAGCCAACTGGGGTGGTCACTTTTATAATATGTATACCTGAAACTGTAATGAGACCACAAAACTCATTTAACTAAGCATCCATTACATTGTAAATAGGAAACTTTGCGGCCTCATATTTTCATCAAAAAATGGTCAGTTTGTCAAATCTGAAAGGCTGCGTCTGGATTGGCATGTTTTTTCGGAAATGCTTTTAACAGAAAAGTTTTCTGTTAAAAGCATTTTCGGAACAGAGCGTCTAGATTGGCACGAACGCTTTTCCGCAAAAGCACTTTTTGCGGAAAAGCGTCCGTGCCAATCTAGACGCGTTTTTCCGCAAAAAAGCCCCCATGGCCATTTTCGCGATCGGGGCTTTTTTGTGGAAAACAAATCTAAGCTGTCTACACTGGCCCTTTTACGCAAAAGCTTTTTGCAAAAGGGACTTTTGCCTGAATGGGAGCAGAATAGTATTTCCGCAAGAAGCACTGATTTCTTACAGTAGGAAGTCAGTGCTTTTGCGGAAATGCAAGCGGCCAGTGTAGACAGCTGGCAAGTTTTTCCAGAAAAGCGGCTGATTTTCTGGAAAAACTGGCCATTCTAGACACAGCCAAACTGTTTACAAAACTCATTTTAGGCAAGAGAATAAATTTACTGGTAGTCATTATTCGTATAGATGAATTAGCCTTAAAAGCGTCAGAGTTTCAAGTCAGATACATATCTGACTGTTACCAGAATCTCCTGAACTATGGAGGACCCCTCTCCTTGACCCTCCTCACTGGAACCCCCTGTCCAAAACTATTGAACCCTTTCTCTTCCATTCTTGTCAACACATTGGTTGATCTTCCAGTGTATTCCCAACCTATCTCTGACTGTGACTCTTGCCCCTTGCTTGACCTTCCATTCTATCTCTGCTATTTCACAGTAAACTATTTCATATGCACACCCTCATATACTTCTGCCTTCAGATACACACATCTTTAAAGATAAAATATAAAGATGTCTCCAAGCTCTGGAACATCTGCTTGAACTTTCAGCTCTGACTCATTTGCTGCAAGCCATATTATACAAGGTTCCAGAGTGGAAGTATAAAAACAAATAAATAAATACAGATTGGCTTCACAACATACCTTCAATGGTGGGGGAATCCTGCAGCCAAAAGAAGACAGATGAGGAAACAGGATGTAGGGAAGAACTAGTAGATAGGAAGGCTGCTGAGTGGGAGTTCACAGGTAATGGTGCAATGGAATCTGGAACGTTGGTGGCTTTTCAAGAAGAGATGTAAAACTAGGAAATAACCTTCAGCCAAACAAAATATAATGTTGTTTAGTTTGCGTCAAAAAGAATTCAGAGGTTTGCCAAAACTTAATTATTAAGGTTTCCATATGGATAAGATAAAAATAAAGAACACCTGCACATTTGGGTCAGTCAAACAGATGGCTGCTCTCCAATGCCTTTCCCTTATACTTGTAGCAGAAAAAAGCAGTATAGTGGTCATCTTAGTTGCTTGCCTAAAACTGCATAGTGGCACGACTGCAAAGAGATTTTATTTTGAACCAGTGTGCGCACAATTGTGCATGCATGTTCGTATGTACAGTTGTAAATAAACAGCAGCTTGAAGTAGAAAATGCCAGTTGTCAGTATCAGAATCCAGTCCTCAGACAGAACAGTCATAGAATCATAGAACCATAGAGCTGGAAGAGACCTCAGAAGGTCATCAAGTCCAGCCCCCTGCTTTAGGCAGGACCAAACCCAAATAAATCAACCCAGCCAGGGCTTTGTCAAGCCAAGACTTAAACAACGCTAGGGATGGAGACTCCACTACTTCCCTAGGTAACCCATTCCAATGCTTCACCACTCTCCTAATGAAATAGTTTTTCCTAATATCCAACCTGGACCTCTCCCACCATAACTTGAGACCATTGCTTCTTGTTCTACCATCTGTCACTACTGAGAACAGCCTTTCTCCATCCTCTTTGGAACCTCCCTTCAGGAAGTTGAAGGCTGCTATCAAATCCCCCCCTCACTCTTCGCTTCTGCAGACTAAACAGACCCAACTCCCTCAGCCTCTTCTCATAGGTCATGTGCTCTAGCCCCCTAATCATTTTGGTTGCCCTCCGCTGGACATTCTCCAATGCATCCACATCCTTTTTGTAGTGTGGGGACAGAACTGGACACACTACTCCAGATGTGGCCGCACAAGAGCCGAATAAAGGGGAATAATCACTTCTCTGGATCTGCTGGCAATGCTCCTCCTAATGCACCCTAATATGCCATTAGCCTTCTTGGCTACAAGGGCACACTGTTGACTTCTCATCCACTGTAATCCCCAGGTCCTTTTCTGCAGAACTGCTACTTAGCCATTCGGTCCCCAGCCTGTAACAATGCTTGGGATTCTTCATTCTGGACCCTATCTCTGCCCTCGAGCATATCTACCTCTCCCCATAGCTTAGTGTCATCTGCAAACTTGCTGAGGGTGCAATCCATCCCCTCATCCAGATCATTAATAAAGATATTGAACAAAACCAGTCCTAGAACCGAACCTTGGGGCACTCCACTTGAAACCAACCGCCATCCTGACATCGAGCCATTGATCGCTACCTGCTGGGCCCAGCCTTCTAGCCAGCTTTCTATCCATCTTACCATCCATTTATCCAATCCATATTCCCTTAACTTGTTGGAAAGAATATTGTGGGAGACCATATCAAAAGCCTCGCTGAAGTCAAGGTATATCACATCCACTGACTTTCCCATGTCCACAGAGCCAGTTACCTCATCAGAGAAGCTAATCAGATTGGTCAAGCACGACTTGCCCTTTGTGAATCCATGCTGACTATTCCTGATCACTTTCCTTTCTTCCAAGGATTCCTCAAAAATGGATTCCTTAAGAATCCCTTCCATGATTTTTCCAGGAACTGAAGTAAGACTGACCAACCTATAGTTCCCTGGATCTTCCTTCTTCTCTTTTTTGAAGATGGGCACTACATTTTCCTTTTTCCAATCATCTGGGATCTCTCCCGATCGCCACGACTTTTCAAAGATAATGGCCAAAGGCTCCTCAATGACATTTGCCAACTCCCTCAGTACCCTCAGATGCATTAAGTCTGGACTCATGGATTTGTGTACGTTTAGCTTTTCTAAATAGTTCCTAACCTGTTCTTTACCCACCAAGGGCTGTCCATCTTCATCCCATTTTGCATCACTAGACATATTTTTGACCTAACCACAGATCAAAAGATTAAAGAGCTAGACAAAAGCATGGATTGAGGAACTAATGAACAGTTGACAACCAATCTCATCCATGGATAGCAGGATTTCTTTTTTACTCAAAACATGTTATAAGAACTCTTGACCTTTCCCACACAAGATCTACATTTGACAGGTATTTTTAAAATCATCTTTGCCTTGATTTTCCTTTTTCAATGTATTGACCAGTATTTCAATGTATTTTAAAGGCTCAGTAATGTACACCACGTGTAAACAGAGGCTTTATAGTCCACAACCCGTACTAAAGTAGCTGAAAATTAGATCACAAACACGTATATTAGACAAGTCAAAGGGGAGTAGAAATTAGTCTTATTATTAAAATGTAAGAATAGAGGAGGCCTCCAAGTGTGCCAGATAATTTGGAAAATAGAAACTAGTTCTCTCATTAAAGTGAAGTTATTCTTGATTGCTCAACAGCGACCAAAGTGCCTGAGCAGATTATAAAACAGTGTGCTTAGTTTAGGCTCTGCATAAATGTATAAAGCACAATAGGGAAATATCCTTAAGGAATATTTTCTTTGGAAATCAGTAATTAGTACTGTTCCTCAGATTTAGAAAGCCCTTGCTCAACGCCCCAACCTTCCCCTCACCTCGCTTCTGACCTCCCTGATTGTTGCAATACAATATTTGGTTCCATTCATTTAGAAATTTAAAATAATATTTTCAGACACCTGGAAAGTTACCAAGAATTGGGCATTGTTGTGTCTGCAGCTTATGGCCCAGCACTCAGGCTCATATACTGGCCATGTCAGTGTGAATTGCGCATGCAGTTGGAGGTCAATATATGAGCCAGAAAATGTGCAAATCTTGCCCCCGATCATGAGTGAAACATACTTTAAGCATAAGAAAGTTACCGATCACCACTCCATGCCTGAGAGCTGTAGAGCTCTTTGGAGAGAAAGGAACTAGAACTGTGCCTTTTATTGTTTTAAGGGGGAAGTTGAAAAGACAGGGGGTTAGGAGGGGAACTGTCTTTCTTCCCCTTCTCCATCCATCCTCTAATTGCTGGGAATAGACTATACAAGGGGGAAAAAACCCTAGTCTTCTCACAGTCACACGGATCTATTTTTAAGCGTCCATCCAGGAACTCTCTCTTTCTTGGGATGTGCTGAGGTATTGCATCTCCTCAGTTGCAAGTCAGTTAGAAAAGACCCACCTCACTTCTATATCTGTGCAGAGTTGGAAAGATATTGTGTATGTTCATGGTTTCCTTGACTTCATCCTTGATTATATCTGGGTTGGTGAATGTTCCACTCCTTAACCAGGGGGAAAGTGTTAAGACAGAGTTTGAGCACTGCCTGATTGTCCCTATGCAGG